ATAAAATAACTATGCACGGAGTAAGGGCCGCCAGTTTGTAAGTGTGCTGGTAAAGTACGGAAAACTCGGTGGGCCGAATTTGTCCAATCCGGCCCTCCACTGACTCAATGACGCTATTATGGGGGACTTATCGTAAGCAGCGCGGATTTACAATTAGCACATTTGGCCCCTCTAGTGTTTGAACTGAATTCGAGAAAAGTCACGTGGGTTCGTAGGTATATTATATTATTTTATGACCACACTATACCTAATACAGGGTGATTCTTTTATCGTAAGCCTGCAAGCAAATGTATCAGACATTTTTAAATTCCAGCAACAAATACTGATAATCATTATTGAACAATTTAAAATAGCACATTAGTTTCTATAAGACATTAAAAAAAAATAAAAATATTATTTATATATCCCTATACAATACAGCCTGGTTTACAATAAAAAAAATCGTAAACTTGTTAGAAACACATTGGAAAATGTACTAGACATTTTTAAATGTTTTAATGACGAATTCTGATAATCTCAGAAAAATTTAAAACAGTACATAGGTACCTACTCTCTATTGAACATTAAATATAATATAATTTAAACATATTCCTTATTTTTCCTTCACAATATCACATGTTTCGCAATAAAAGAATAATCACTCTGTATTGATAAGTCTTTAACATTGTATTGTTGCTCCAGCTATTTTTAAATACCCAGCTACATATTTTGTTTGGACTTTATTACGACGTGATATACTATCGCGTCCCTATTATCGAATATTATTGAAATTCACGAGCTTACGTGTAGGTCGTATTCTTTAATTATTAGTCATGTACAAATTTGTCGTCTTTATATGGGTTCAAAGTTATATTATACCTTGCGTAGCGATAACTGCGGGAACAGTGTTTACAGTAAAAATTATTATATTTAAATTTGGAACATAATATTTTGATGAATCAGGGATATTATGTTATAATATCCCTGATTGTAATTGAATAATTATGTTATAATTTATTTCAGGGATAGCTCATAATAATTATTTATAAATATAAACACTATTATTTTCATAATGTATAACATAATTTGTAAGAAAAATTACGACAAATTTGATAACGATATTATTATTTATTCATAATTTTAAAACATTAATTGTGCGTTGCCACGTTGGTATCTTTATATGTAATTGTCATGATAAATTAATTAATTTTAAAACATTTTAAAATATAAATTACACCATGGTATAATTGTTATGGTTTAATTGTTGTTAATTTTAAATAGTTGTTACAATTTGTAACATAGCCAGGGGGTGGTTTTAGGGGTTCAAACCCCCCCTTGGCCTTAAAAAAAAAAAAAATGTTTTTATTGTATGATTTTAATACTTTTATTTTTATTATTATTTAATATTATTTTAGTATTTTCTATGTACGGCTGTGGGACGCTATTCGGTGATCGTCGCGTGCTTATCGCACCGACGACCGAACGATCCCACATCTACTCAGAATTATATAAACATATTATGTATATGTCTATGGCGTGTATGTATGTATGTTCTGTGGTATGACCCGACGACAGCGACGGGTAATATTGTTCTATTTATACTTTTATCAATTATTCTTTTATACCATATATTATCGTGCTGCTGAGAGACTGAGTCTTATTGTATCTTACAAATATAATGTAGGTACATTTTTTTACTTTTGTTTTTATTTTATTTGATGAATTGCGGGTGACCAATTTATTTAACATCAAATTTACCAAATGACCGATTTCTAATGACCAATTTTGATTTTGCTGAGACCAATTTAATGTACCCGACAGAAAATTAACAAAAACATTTATTTTGATAAAATTGAAAATTATACAGGCCACAGTGGCTTTGCACTGTTTGCAGTGTATCATAAAACCACGGACTAAGATATAATGGACTGGAAACGAGCAGCTTATCATGGCCACGAATGTATGTACAAGAGGCAAAGTGCGGGGGGTCGCTATCTGTTCTTGGAGTTCACAGCGCCCTCTGTATTTAACACAGACTAAAAGATACAAATTGTGTTGCCAAATAAAACCACCGGTAGCGCTGAAAACTTCAAGAACAGTATTCTTATCAGCTAAGTGACATATTTTCGTGGCCGTCCCCCGATCCCCGCCGACCATGTCGTTTCCAGTCCATTATATCTTAGTCCGTGCATAAAACTCAATAAACGTGTCTACACTTGAAGCTCGAAATATTGCGGTACATAGTACACACTACAATTAATGATAAAAGTTTTCATTTAACAATGTAATATTTATAATTATATAAAATAATACGAGTGCAGCCAATCGTATCAACAGTAGGCACGTCCTTGTTTGACGATACTAATTGACACAAAATCCCCAATGCATGACTGTTGGTCTTGAGAGGAGCTCAACGCAGTTATTACTTATTGTCCTATAAGACTGTACTGTACAGGCAGTTTTATTGAAAATTAAAATTATATTATAACTTACTCCAGAACAACAATACATTTACGAATAATATTTATAAGTTATAACCATTATTTTTTGTGACTTGTTAGTTGTTATTATATTATCATAACGTCAATGGTTGTGAAATAATAAACATTTTACCGACACAATATAAACAGCTATTAATATCAAACTAAAGGTATTTTAAAAACCTAATGAAAATGTATACAAACAAAAATACTCTTAAATGGTACTATACCTATGATATTATGTCCAAATATTGTTGTATATTGGAATGATTAAATATTATTTATTTTAAATTTAATGGAGACAAAGTTCACAAAAAAATGTCTATAATATATTAATATTTGTAGCATAAAAATGTAATATATACGCTAGGTTTTTTTTATAGTATTTCGAATTTTTAAATATGAAATTACAAAATAAATAGTTAAATTTTAAATACTTAAAAATGTTGATGATGGGCTTTTGGTTATATTTAATATATTTACTGAATTTCTGTTATAATATATATGTGTATGATAAGTTTCCGTACGCTTTTCCGAATTAACTTTACACGTCAATCTCATTCTAATCCGGAAAACTCTACTTGAAACACTCATATTAAATCATTGCATAGAATAAAGTGCAAGTTTCAAAATTCCCATTTTCTTTTTTATCCACGAGTGTTTCCGATTTATCCAGACAATTAAAATAATTATTATAAATTTATAATTATTTGGGAAAGTCTTGAACTGTGACAGTTTAAAACTGGAGTAAGACGCGTTTAAAAACTAAAAGTGTATTTTCATGTACCTGTGGAGCAGCATCATAACAATTTATGCATTATAGTATTTATATGGATTATGGATTGTAGTAGTATTATAATATAAGCTTTAAATTATGTACATTTAATATTAGTGATCAACTACAGCATAAACAGCTGAAAAAACCTTTTTACTTTCTATAAAAACATATTACATATTACATATTAATAACATATTACATATAAATCCATTTTCGACACGTTCCCTGATGTTATAAACGACGCCTAAAGAACACTGTAAAGGACACTGTTGGTATTATAACTTCTGTTTTGTTTTTTAATGTGAAGCCCCATTTCGAAGGTCAATCATTTAGTGGATATTTTTTTTAAAATTTTAATGTACTCATTCAAAATCTGAACGAAAAGTTTTTCAATAATTATTTAAATGTTTATATTAAGGATGAAATTCCTTGAAAATGGCTTTATAAAAATATAAAATATATTATGTAGTATTCACTATAGGTATTTGGACCTTTTTTTTTATATAAATTATGAAGATGGATAGCTTAAACAATCTTTAAGTAGCACAAAAAATCTTAAGAGTTTGAAAATATAGTCGTTAAGTACCTATATTAAAAATTTCCAAAAAATCAGATTTTAAATAATTACATTATTGAAGCAGAAAAATAAGGTGTGTATCCTGCTTGGTGGATTATCTGTTTAATGATAATATTTCGAATTAAAACCATACGGTTTGTTTACTTTGTTTCGTGAACGTTTGCGAGTTGGTCTGCAGCAGCTTTGGAGGCGGTATAGTCGAGTACCTACCTATATTATTGTGGAGTTCGTCTCGGAATGGAAATTTGTCAACGGAAACTTGTTATTGTATACAATTTGTTATTGAGGTTGACACATTAACATATAACACGCTGTAAAATGAAATATACTCGAGTAAAATACATTTTGGTTGTGTTCGAAAAATACAGACTTGAAGATATTTTTCATAGAAAATTCTCTAACGAGAATTTTTACTGTAATTTATTTTTGTCGGTTTTTCCTTACTTTTTATATTTATTTTTTTATTATTATATCGTTCACTCGAGATAGAATATTTCAGTAGGGCGCGGCGGTGTCGGTTGTTCGCTCTGGCTGTAGTCGTAATACATTATTAATTAGCACTGCACTTGTTTTGAACAATAATAATAAAAATAGTAATAAAAATGAAAAAAAATCACTATTAATAATTATATTATACTCATGAATATCGCAGTATTTTATTTCACTTAACCTGTACATGCGGTAATACATTATTATATTATAGTGTTGACTGTAGGGTAACACTATTCAATAATATTGTTATATTCGTTTTTTTTTTTGTTTGAACACTTATAGGTAGTATACAATAACAGTGAATAACCAGTAACCACACACTACCCTGTAAAAAAAGGTTCCTCATTGGCAGAGCTGACTGGTGGTAAGAGTCGTATTTAGGAGTGAGGGGGGGGGGTTGTCTGAAGAGAACATTTTCCCAGAACGTCAAATTTGAATGACTAAATTACTTATACCATAATTATTATCAATTTATTTACCCCACAAACTTTTGCGATTTGTAATTTTCGTTTTGCCCTACAGCTATAGATACATTATATTTACTTATTGATGGTTTACATATCGTAATATTACTAATTCAAAATGCGTCGTTGTACCAAATCTTACCTATTTGATTCAGTTCAGTAATTCAGTTTTAATATTATTTATGTTTATAACATTTTATGACCAGACGTCGTTCTATTGTGTGTTACAGGTATGGCATCACATGTGTCACGGGCACAAACCTAAAATTCAGGAACAGTGCAACATCCAACCGTGTTATTCCGACTGGTCAACAGGTGAATGGTCCAAAGTGAGTACAGCGTGATATTAAAATATTTTTAACTATTAAGCAACTTATCACTGTTGAGTGGTGCACACGAATCGCCTTACAAATCTGTATATAGGTATGGCTTTTTTCAAACAATGCATCCGGTCGTTTTCGGAGGCAATTCGAGTGTCCTGTACAATATGGATGCACTCGAATCGCATCCCATATCATACTCATATTATTAATTGTATTGTCCGATTTTCGTAACATAGGTACGATGATAAAACGACAGTGAAAAACTAGAATATAATAATAATAATACAGGTAAAATTATATATACAATATAGATTTATTAATATATTTGTTTGAGTATTATTGACTCATATAAGTACATTTAGGGTTTTGAAAAATCTATTCATATTTTCTGATGTGTATATCTAAAGTCGATTCAAGTGTGTCCGTTGAGAGACTTATTATATTCCGGATTATATCGGTTTATCCGCGCCGTCTTATATATTTTAATACAAACATAATATTATTATTATGCCCACGAAAAATATAATACAGCCTACAGGAAGTTGTCTCTAATAATATTATATTTAAATTAAATAATATTTAATATTAAATTCGTTTGTGGCCAATTGCCGTATACACGTACCATTCAATTAATTGCAGTGTTCGGCGACTTGTGGCGACGGAATGCAGATCAGAAACATCACTTGCAAATCGAAACAAAAGTATCTGACTTGCGACCCGATGACCGAGCCCAGGCGGACCAAAACTTGTTCTGCGAACTTGCCGTGCTACCGTAAGTTCAGTAAAATAAAAATATATTATATCATATTTTATTATATTTATGTCATTAGTAATTACCTATATCCACTACCCAGTGTGTTTTATTAAGAACGCCGAATTTAATTTTGTTGAAACTTTAACGCGGAAACTTGATTTAAGCAAAACAAATTGTATGAACATTTAGAATATATACTTGCCCACCCATTGATGTATGAGAAATAATATAGGACATAATATTATGTCCACCTCGGTTACGAAGGCAAGCTTCAATTCTAGACACGACATTTAAAATCACTCGTCGAAATATCTCTGCAGGTTCAAGCTTACCAATTCCCGGGAACGAATTTCTTCTATAAGTGCTTTAATATTATGTTTCGTCGTTGGTTTTCATAGACATGAGCTTTTATTCAGCACGGCGCCAAATAAAAAACACCTGTCAAGACCAGCTCTGGTCTCCGATTCGTGCGAAAGAAGTCAGCCCTCGAATTCTTCCCACAATATTACGCAATTGTCGGTCCAACAGTGTAGCACCATTCTGCTGGAACCACATAAACCACCATGTCGATATCTTGTAAATTCTGGTCACTAGAAATCTTTAACCATATTTCGGGGGTAACCACGTGATTGAAATCCTGCATTGTGAAGCACCCTGCAGTGTATATTATATATCGACGTCAGACCTTGCGACAAAATGGCTCGAGATACTTTCGTGTAAGCTATAATAATATAACTAATGAGTAATAATTATAAACACCATATATTTTACTATAATGTCGCAATATAAGTAAGAGAACATAATATTACACGTTCGTTTCTGTGTATACATGTGAGGAGGTATTATTTTCTTACCATGGACGGCGCGGGGGATTAGTGACAAGCGGTCGAATAATAATGGTCCGAAGATAAATTCGCTCGTTGTTCGAACTATATGTACAAGCACACGATCGGTGGTAAGCGCATGCGCGTGTGCGTGATCTGTGTTTGTTTTGAGGGGAATTCGCCCCACGGGAACGATACTTTTCATTTTGAAAGTCTCGTGACATGTATGCTGACAGCTGGACTAGCGGGTTGCATGTCAAAAAATGGAAAACTCAATGTGTTACCGTCGTTGCGGTCGGCCTCAATTTGTGTGGGAAAAATCTCGTCGGGATATACAGAAACGAATTTATTATTGAACGAGTGGAACAGCATCGCCCATGTCGCACACACAATGTGTGATGTATATATAATATTATTATGTATACGACCCAGCCCGAAGAGACCTTCGACGTGAATAAATATAATCATAAAACACGGAGATCGGTTAAAGTCCGTTTTATTTTCGATTACAAAACCACGACGGTGGTAGTAAAACGGCGATTTTAAATTACATTTTTTCATACTGCTATAGCTGTAAAGCGGTCGATAACGATATAAACCCGCTCGGCTCGAAGCGCATAAACCCTTTTCGCCTTCGCACTCAGACCTTAAAAAAAGTATAAGTGTTATAACGCCCGTGGAACTGTGCAAGTTTAGCCTGGCCGGTCATAACCGTTGTGAAATTTGCTCGAAGGCTAATCGAATCATTCCCCATATCGTTTTTATTGGGCCGTTTCATTCATTTGTAGTAAAAATAACACTTTTACGCGCGTTCAATCTTCACTCTGGCCAAACAATATCCCGAATCCCGTAATTTGTTTTTCTTTTCGTCGAAATACTCGATCAAAGCTATATATTTTATATCAACACTCATATTATATTATGTAGGTATATAAAATAATATAATAATATATAATATTATATGCGTATAGACGCACTTCCGCAAAAGACGTGAGTGGGTCGAGTATATGACAGGGCCGAGAACTTATTATTTATATCACCGTATAATATAATATATTATAATATATCGCTCGAAGGGTTAGGTAACGTAATAAACTATTAGGTTACGTATACGTCAAGTCGTCATCCCATTGATCAATACTGCAAATATGTCTTGTAAATTTAAATTTTTTTTCTAGATTAGAACTGAATAACAAGTAGTTTAATCATATTCAGTAAACACATATAATACATCAATTTGGTTGTTTTACAATAATAGTTTGCTTATACTTTTATATGAATACATTTCATAGTTAAGTGCCGTATATAATATCACATATTTTATCAATAGGGTTCAGGACTTCTTGCATACATATTTTTTTTTTGTATAGATTGTAGAATATTTTAGATGAGAATACATTAATTGTTTTGTAAAGTTATACAGAAATAATCACTTCTTATATTATTGCATTGTATAACTTAAATTAAAAAAATAATTATATTCGAAAAATGTAAGCATTTTTGCAATAACTAATAACATAGTGCATATTTTTAATATTTTCATACACACATCATTTTATAACGTTTTCCCTGTTTTTTTCACAAAAATTTAGAGAATTTTTCGATAATTTTAATTGCATATTTGCATGCATTTTTCGAACATTTTTAGTGAACAAATACGAAGCCATATTTATCAATAATTTATTTTATAAATGTATCGAAATATTCTAATAGTAAATCTTCACTTTGTTTATGCGTTGTTTAAAATGTATAAAATATGTAATATCCCTACTCCCTAATAATAATTATATTGATCAATCAAAAGTTTAAACTGTAGTATTATTGTGAGTGAAGGTTGTAACACTTTTAACTTATTTCATCATCTGTTTCTAATGAATAAATTTTTGTAATAAATGTTCACATTTTAAGAACATTATCTTTCATACCAAGTCTATAAGAATAAGTATTTTTATTTTTTATAATTGGACATTCACTCAAAATGTTACCTTACATTTCAACAGTTAATGTGGGTTTAAATTCGCTTACGCTTTAAAATTTTCATAATGTTTACTTATAATATTATTATTGTACATGAAAAATAATCATTTTGTCGAACATAAGTTGTAAAATTCGATTGATACGATAATATAATTGTATCTTTTTCTCAATAAACGAATACTGGTATTTGCTTATGAAATTCAACGAAACAATGGACCAGTAAAATATTGGTCGGTAAAATGCTTAAAATTGTACTATAAAACTTAATATTATTTCCAAAAATAATCTTAAAAAAAAAATATAATACTCTTCGCTTGACCAACATATAATAAATCAACGTATCGTGTTTTTGGTTGTTTATTTTACTTGCTATATTGTTACTTAACGTCTTGTTTGTTTTTGCCACTCGTGATGTTGCAGACGACAATTTCGACTCAGACTCGGATTTCCAAGTGTCGTCCAAATCGAGTTTTTCACAAGCCCTCGCTCAGCGATTGATCGGCCAACAAAAAACTTCTCCTCACACACTGTAAACTTTTAGCGCCCACATTTGCACGCACGACGATTTATTTAACTGATAATGATAATATGTTTAGGTTCGTTTCCGACAATTGGAGCCCATGCAGCGTCACGTGCGGCGATGGTATCAGGACGAGAAAGGTGTACTGCAAAGCTCATTTAGATTACACTCAGATCATGACCAAGTTAACAGACGACGCGTGCGTCGGTCCCAAACCACCGGAGGTGGAAAAATGCTTCTCGGTGCCATGCTCGTTGAACAAAATGTAAGCCATGTCGCCGATATGGTTTACTTAAAACTACACGAGTTCATAATAATGTTATAATTATAATGTCTCGTCGTGATCAATAATATTGTATTTCAGATTTGATCAAAATGAGAGATCCATCAGGGACGGATACGCGGACGCCAGCTCCGATGATTTCAATCCACCGAAAGTCGCCCCCGGTTCGTTTGGTAAAACATACTCTTGGAAAAGAGAAGGCTTTACGCATTGCAGTGCTTCTTGTCTTGGAGGTTAGATTTGTATTGCCTGGACCATATAAGGTTACGATAAGCGATCCATTACTGGTTTCGATATAGTGAAATAAAACATCAATTATTACAATAATAATATTTCGATGTTTTCATTATTATTACAATATTTGTTGTACTATTTCAATAATTAATTTAAGTCTGTATATTATGTTAGCGTTATCAAGTTATAAATAATATTATGTTTGAGTATTCCTAGTAAAACGCTGTGCTTCAGCTACAATATACGTCTGCGTAAAACGCGATTTTATTATAAAATTTGAATTAGTTTAAACTATATTCTAATATTATATAGTGACCGCTATTTATTTCGGTCAAAAATGTATTGTAAATTGTATTATGTGTTTTATAGTAGTGAAAACTTGAGGCTTCGAGTTGTGTACAGTTTTACTTAAGGAGTATTTTTTTTAGACAATGACAATGATAGTATAGACGACGATAATATTATTGAAACTTTTGATAAACGATTATTGTTATTTTTGTTTTGGTGTATAGGCGTACAAGAATCGTTGGTGTTGTGCGTACGTGAAGAGGACAAGAAAATCGTCTCCCCATACTTGTGTTCCCGAAACGATCAACCTGAAGTACTGACGCAGACGTGCAACGACCAGCCTTGCCCGCCCCGGTGGAACGTTAGCGATTTCCAGCCGTGTTCGCAGAGCTGTGGCATCGGACTTCAGATGCGAGAGGTCAACTGCATACATGAGGTGACTGAAGGGAACACAGCTATCGTGCCGAACAACATGTGTCCACAACCCCCACCCACAGACCGGAAGCAATGCAACATGATAGACTGTCCCACGGAATGGCGGACTTCCGAATGGTCGAAGGTACGTGCCCTTAACCCCTGTGACGGTGGTCTTACATTTCAAATTAAGGGAAGGTATTTTGAAATAAACCTTCGCGTATTTCGAATTGGCTGTAAAAAGTATTTCATATTTTTGTATTTCAAAAAATAACTACCTATACTTATATATTTTGCATATTATTTTAAGCACTTAAGCGCCGTATATTACACTTAAATCGTTGTCCTATCGAGTCTATTGTATTTTATGTATAGTTAAGCTTAATTTTCCATTATGTCCATTATTTTTAGGTCGATCATGGTGACACGAACATAATATGATACTTAACACAATTGATTTTATATAATATGATATGTTTTCTTAGCAGCAGAAATATAAAACTTTGTAATTTTTGTAAATTGATAAGTTTCTTGAAATATTGGAACTATAAAGAATTTCGTATATTTTGAAAAACATATTTTTTTACACTACTGATACTGATTAGGCTACACTCAGATTTATTTTAAACACCTACAATTAGGCGAATACTAAAGTATTTTTCTTACCTAAGTTATTTTGTGTCTGCTCCATATTTTCCGAGTTAATATTGTTTCACTCATAGTTTAAGCTAATGAATTGTTATGTTATTGTTAACGTACCAATTTCTTAATACAATGTACAATATTAATAATTTTTAAAAAATATTTTTTTATCTATGGTATAAAAATAGCTTATTTAATTACGTGTTATGCCCCAATGAAAGGAGAGCCGTAAGATATAGAAGTAATAATGCATGTTTCCTTCAAATTCGTATGGTATCGCTATAATTTTCGGATCAACTAACTCTATGTATATCATTCAATGAATAATCGTGACGTATTCGTTCTTTATTTTTTATAGTGTAGTAAAAAGTGTAACGGTGGCGTCAAAACCAGAGTGGTGGAGTGCGTGCAGAGAATTGCCCACGGGCACATCATAAACCGGCCGGACACGGATTGCGGCACCGACAAGCCACTCAATAGCAGACTGTGCAATCCAAACGCTTGCAGTTCGCAGGAAGCGGTCATGGTGTCAGACGTGGCTCAGAAATACGAACAGGCTACCACCGAGGAAGACGTAATGCTCAAAGTTGGCGGCGAAGCGACGGTGTACAGAGGGGTGGAAATGAAGATGAGGTGTCCCGTCAACAAGAGGTAAGTCATAAGTCATTAAGTAAATCATTATACTTATATCATATGTGTGCGCAGGTACTCCTCAGGGGAGGCAACACCCCAAAATACCTAATCGAACCAGAAGTTCGGACCACCCCCTCCCAATTATAGCTATGCTTTGAGGCTAGGCGATGATATTTGAAACTAATCCTAACATAAAATTATAGACTTGCAAGTGTGCAACATATATTATAACATATTAATATGTATTCTTAATAATAATGTCATTAAATAACAATATAATTTTATTATTTCAACTTATGTGATAAAAACAAATTAATATCTCTAAGAAGTAAGAATGCTAAATAATTTATTTCATGTTTAAAAACCTCTATAGATTCTTCATAATCAGATCTTGATTCTGTTCAATAAATATATTTAAGAGTCTGTTGGTATAAGTAATATATAACAGTATACACAGTAGGTATTGTCACAGAAAAAACCAGTAACCACTTTCAGTGGCATGCCCAGAGGGGTGGTAAGGGGTTATACACCCCACCCAATGGAAAATTCTGGGTATGCCACTCTCCACTGACCACTGCTAAAGCTGTCTTATGAATTTATCATATACAAAATAAATAGTAATACGATATTATATTAGTTTTTTGATTGAATATTGAAAATATTTTTATAAAATAGTAAAAAGGTACCTATACTTTGTCGTGAGATCTCGCATGTAAGGCTGACTTCTCGCTTTCCACTTCCCTGCTCACGATTATCTATAATATAACAGTATTACCATTGATTAAAAACACAATATTGTAGAATAATGGTATTACTATACGCACATATTATTACTACGTACCAGTGAGTATTTTATAATAATATGATCAATGACGTCACACTATAATATATCAGGTCTGCAGATATGTAGAGGGTGTAAACTACACTGCATTTTAGATCTGAAGTGCACTCGGTGAAGCTCTCTAGAGTTTCGTGTTATAATATAAAGGATATAATATATACGAGTTGGTATCTATCGCATCTTATTGTTTTCGACCATTGTTCTTATGAACCCAGTGCATAAAACGACCGCCGCGGACATGGGCCGTCAGGTCAATGCGATTTTATTTCGTTTGTCGATTACGTAAAGACATTTTTTTGTGATTTCACTTAATGTCTTGATCCACGTATACCCAACCTGTATTCTAGATAAGTTAAAATGTTTAACTTAATACGCTTAATGTAATATAGATGTCAGAGTATACTAAGATTTTTTTTTTATTTATATCCTGCTCGCAGGTGTGTTATTTACTGGATGTAAGGGAATGTATTATTTGCATCAATGCATCCTATAGAATATAAATGATTTTTATATTTTACAGATTTGTTATTGAAATTAATAAACCTTTTTTCTAACACGAATATCATCATTTTGGTGGTTTTAGGCACTTTTTAAAATAAAAGTGATAAATTCAATTCGAACATCGATCCGATTTATACATCGTATTTATTGAACAATAATATTATTATAATTTACAGGGGGAAAATACAGTGGTCCAAAGACGGTCAGCCGTTGCAAAATGGCAAGAAAGTTCGGATATCGAAAAAAGGCATACTCAAGATCCGGGCCACCACATACTCGGACCGAGGAACCTATACGTGTGTTGGTATGTTACATAGAAATTCATCAGTAAAATATTCTGTTATTAGTTATTGCATATGTATATATGCTATATCGAACAAATATATATATATAGGATGATCCTTTATCGTGAACCAAGGTGCCAGACTATGTTTTAAAAAGTACAAAGTATTCAACTATTATTGTTTCAATGGTAAGGACAAGTATTGATAGGTATATAAATGTATATGTATATGTAAATGTAAAATAATAAGTTGTAATACTTAAGCTTATGTAAACAAAATTATTTAAACATTTCTCAAATATTATGCCCGGTTCACGATAGACAAATCACTCTATAGTCGGTATATTCGTGTAGGTACCCAATGTATAAACAATCTTTTATTTTTTTGTATAGCTGGCAACGCCCAAGCTACAATGAACATCAACATCAAACCCCAGCCGGGAGAGTTTCCTAGTTCCGAAGAAATCGACAAGCCTTTGAACCAACAAGACCCAGGTACGATTTACGTACTATCCTACCAGTTATTTTTACTCCCTACCGTTTGACTGAAAACTAAATTTATTGTTTTTTTAAACATAATTTTAGATATTATAATATAATATGAGTTGTATTATACCTAAATATAGTTACAGGGAATAGGGATATATAAGTAGATATATAACTATTGGTTTGACAAGTATAGTGTATGATATTTTAGACAGCGAAGCTCGTTGAGTTTACATAGCATAGTTTTATGTTTCAAATTTAATACAGGATATAAATTGCAGTTTAAAGATGTTATTTTTTAAATTTTAGACCAATATATTGTTGTAGAGCCACAACTGTTTCCTTTAAGGGTAAAAATCGACATAGATACCTAGGTACCTAACAATAAATTATACCACACAGAGCTGTTCAGAATCATTATAATATGACTGTTTTAACATTGTAGTAGGTATTAGATAAGGTTACTAAGCTGGTTTTTACTAATTAATTCTGTCTAATCCCCCTCCCCCCACATCTTCAGTAACATTTTGTCAAAACACTTTTTAGTCGTATAGTCACACCACTGTTGTTTTGCATAATATATGATGTTAATTTATTATTATTGTAACAATTTATTTATACGTCATGATTTTATATTCGTCTAAAGGCATGAATCCTTCGTACGCGAATCCGCAAGGGATAGAACCATCATTTGACATCAGCCACGAACGCATCAAAGGCGAGCACAATCGGGAACAGAAACACAAACAGTCGCGACAGAAAACTACCACCATTCAGTCTACCGTAACGAGTACGGCGTCTTCCGAAAAACACGTAGTGGCAAGTATCTTCTTGATTTTGACTTTTTTTTCCATTTAACTTTTTTTTTTTACTTTCAATTTTTAATATTATATTACTATCTGATCTAACCTGACCTGTTTTCCCCCGAAATTGATTATAACCGTTTAAGAACAACGTCGTTGGCGCATATACACACGAGTATTTTACTATACCCGATTCTTATATAGATATTGTGTATGACTATATAGTATAGTTGGTACATTACAACGTTTCTTTGTGTCTGTGAACAGGAAACAGAGAAAAATGCTATAGACGTCTCCCCAAAACCCACCACTTCCGGAAGTTCACGAAACTTGCCTCACCTTCACAGTCTTCTTTTTAACCTCAAGGTGAGATAAAGGAAAATAAAACTGAATTTCCTGGGTTATCACCGTAGATGATTAGCTCCCTTACATCTATTAATATAATTTATATATTATTATTACACTTTGTTGCACATTCCGTTGACTTTAATACATAATAGTGTTTTATTTTAATTATTATTAATCACATACCTAAATACACACACTCACACACACGCACACACACACACACATAATGATATGATATATAGTTTAGCCAACCTTATATAATACCATCACCACTTTTTGTCTATTATTATTATCTCACGATTAAACCCTTGCATGTATATAATATAAGTACTTATTTGGTTTTGTTTATTTGAATCCTGTACTTATACATACCTAATATATTAACGCACCTTCGATTTCCGTAAACATCACGTTATTTTGTTTGAGTTGTGCCGTTACACGTAAATTTATGAGCCTGGGGAAAGTTTTGTTTCATTTTCCATCAGCAAAACATCTTGACAATCATTCATACTAATAAAATGAGTAGGCTCTGTGGCCGTTTCAGGGTGTGAGCAACGCACGGGTGAATAGAATGTTTATGGAAGAACCGGCGAACCCAGCTCCAGAAATCGAAACCAGCACCGAGGACATGTTTGGCAAACCCGTTTTGCTCGGCAAAGGTACCTATTATTGGCTATAATACACAGAAGGGGGTTTATTAATATTTGAACAATAATTAAAGACTAAATTATTGTAGTTTCGTAATAGTAATATTGTAAATAATTAAAAGAACAATTAAACAAAAGCTATGTTTTACGCTGCAGGTGACCGCAAGAGTGTGAAATTCGAATGGGTCATCACGGAATGGTCGGACTGCTCTCCGCCTTGCGGGGGAAACGGTTTTCAGGTACGGTTTTGTCTTCTTTTGCTACAATGGCGTAGGTATTTATTATTTATATCGTTGTCGGTGAACTACGCCACTCGGCAACATAAATTTTAAAAATACATTATTCCTGTTGTCACATAAACGTTTGCCTTCTCGCAGATGAGAGCTGCCCACTGCATGGTCAAACTAAACAATATGACACAAAGCGTGGACAACAACTTGTGCGAGGACGCCCGGCTGCCGACTCCCGTCACCATACAAAAGTGCGAGACAGATGATTGTCCGCAGTGGTCGGTGACCGAATGGAAACCATGTGAGGAGTCCAAGTGTTTCACCTGGAATACTGGTGAGAAAATAAAGTTATAATATCATAGCACCTATATATTACATAGGTGGTATTTGGTAAAAATGCAAAATGGGCTTACTTTTATCCCCCCCTCTCCAACCACATTTACACATTATTACTATAGAGATTAGTTATTTTAAACTTGCTATTTCTTCTGATAATAAAAACATTTTTGTCTGTTTTGTGGGAGGGAGAGGAAGAAACAGTTCATCCGTTATAATTATTAAAATACGCATAAAGTATATAATATTATATTACCATCAATGATCAAATTCAGGCACTTAATGGGCGTATTAATAAAAAATAATGACATAGGCAACCAAGCTAGGAATTTAATAATTATCTAACATTAACAAGTATTGAAGTATACAACAACTAAATTGTATTAAGATTGGCCATGGATAGGTTAGTCAATGTTAACGTTACAGTAACACTAGTAAAACTAAGCAAGTTAAACTTAGTTCAATAGTATTATGACGATAATGTTGTCGTGATAAAATGATAACATAATATTAAAAAAAATGAATGTCAAAAAAATGAGTGTATCACTTATGAAGAAAAAATAAGAACGAAATTACAACAAAATCTTAACTTAATAGGAATACAATTTAGAACTTGAAGGATTTAAGAAGCCTAAGGTAGAACATTATAAATTATAATATTATCTGAAATTTACAACCGATATGCTCGTAAATACGGTATTGTTAATAATTACTATGTCAACTATCTAATTTTCTGAAGAAATTTGACATTTTAATATCATCCAAGATATTATGTAGTCAATGACTGATTTTTATCATTGACGGTAACATATTGATGATATATAAATATAAAACAGATGAAATATACATATGCATATTATATTTGAGTATTGTATGTTACCGACAATCCACGATCATTAGGTAAAGTATGGTGTTACTAGGTAATGTATTTATTGATCGTACTCACTAAAAGCTGAAAAGCTTAATTTCATTCTAGTATTTACTATATTGTACAATCTAGGAAGAAAATCATGACAGTATAAACTAAATGCTGATTTATCCATAACCGAAACTATAACATTATTTTTTACTATAATAGTTAAAAAATAAACACTAAGTTATGTATTTAATCATTCATTCATTTGTTTATTACACGATTTATTTTGTTAAAAATTATAATTAAGTATAAGTACATTAAAAAAAATACTGATAGTTATTTAGATTGTTTGTATATATAAAAAATAATAATTTAAGAAAATTAATTATTATTTATTTGCATAACTTGAACTATTGTGCTACCTATTCTACTACAAGAAATATATGCATTAAAATGTATTTCCATATCGTGTGTTCCAAATCATATTACCAAAACAACCATAAGCCAAGCTATTGTTCAACTTTCACTGTCACGGGGAGGAATTTTTGAGATGCAATTTCCAGAAAAAAATGTAGAACGAAAAATGTGTCGTCACGCGTCAATCAAATATAATAATACTATGTAGGTAGTAGAAGATGCCACAAAAGTTACACGATGTGCAAATAATGTATAATTAAAATTTTCAAACAAAATCAATGTTTGTTAATAAAGTAAAAACAAAAGTTTAATTTAATTTAACTTAGGTTGATATAGCTAAGTTTTGAATTTTTAAATACGTATTAGAAAATACAATTATGTTGGTTATGGATCAATGGATCAATCTTGATTGACAAACAGATTTTACTGTCATGATTTGTACAAAACGTTTTTTTTTTTATAAATGGCCGAATAAAATTAATGAATTTCAGCTTTTGCCGAGAATGATTAGTAAATGCTAGAAAAGTCTAGAAAAACTCATAGCTTTACCCAGTAGTTATTGGGCTTTGTGCCTTTGTCGGTTACATAATATATACGTATTATAGCCTCCTAGTTGTTTTCGTCGACCTATAGATCTGCCCGTAAATATTTAACGTTATTTAAATTTTTAAACACGTCACCCCCTTTTTTCCACTTTGCGCAGCGATGCAGAGGCGAAACGTGTACTGTCAGAATTCGGATGGAGCCACTATATCGGACGAGGCGTGCCACGGGATCGAAAAGCCGGTGAACCGGAAGGAATGCTACAACGATCAGTGCAAAGGCACTTGGAAAGTGGGCGAGTGGTCCGAGGTAAGTGAGTGTGTGGCGCGCGCGTATAGGTGCTGCGTGTGTGCGGGTGACGTCGATAAATAATGCAACCGAGGAGAAAAAAAGTGAAAAAGAAAGAAAAAATAAAATAGCAAGAAGAAAGGAGGGATAAAAATCGAGTTTTTCGATTCGCGTCGTCGTCACTGTCAATTATAAGTTATTTGCGACCGTGGGGATGCGTGCGTTATCTCAATTTGCGCCGCATCTAAATGAAACTGTCGCGCGATGGTCGATAAACGCGCTGGACCACTTTTGAAGCTGTGTAGAGTGTGTGTGCGTTTGCGTGTTCGGTCGTATTTACCCACAAATCACTATGATATTAACCTAGTCCTGCAGAATATATACCTTCGGTTTCCAGAAATTCCACGAACAACGACATCGTTTTATTTTTATTCGCATCAATTATTCAACTAGAACGGTCCGGCGATCTGATTACACTCTAATTTTTTGTTTTTAAAACAAAACATAATAATAATATATAAAACGTAATTTGTTATAATAACATGCTCTTCACATGCCTCCCTCTCAATGTCACTCCCTCTCCCTCTTTCACTCACTCTCTCTCTCTCACGCGTGAGTGCACGCACACACACATAATTTACACGCACGTCACAAACACGACTGCATAAGTGTGTGAAATTTCGACTCACATACAAATAAGGTAGGAAATCAACTTTTGACGTGCGTAGACAACATTCGCACGAGTAACGTCAATCTTCGTCTATATTAAATGTATTACCTATCATTATAATATTACTCCTGCAGTAGTATTATAATATTGTATTGGTATACACCGAGGTGATTTTTACCACCCAAATATTTTGGTAAAGATAAATATAATTTTTGTTTATCTTTGTTCTACGCATTGATTCGATTTCTGTGTCGTGCGAAATCGGTAAATTATATATTTATATCTACATAAACGCGATTTACGTTTAAAGGATACGACACGCATAGATATATTGTTATTTATTATCCATACATACAAAATATATATTAATTTTGTACAATTAATGTGACGTTTTATTTTTTTTTCTGTCCACAATATTTTATTTTGAATAATATATCAAACGCTACATTAGTTCCAGAACGAAAATATTGAACGTTAAACATTTTTTCTCTAAAATATATTGCACAATGACCTACAATATAATATAAATAATTTATGTTCAAATCATAAAGTTTGGCAGGCAGTTATTATTATATAATTATACTCAAGCGTTTCAAAAGTTTTTAATTCATCATTAACAATTCAAATTTCCCCCTTGAATTTCCTGTTTCGTTTGAAATTCTATAGTGCCCTGTGATACCTAAGTGTATAAATATTTGATTTTATTAAAAATATTTTTTGCAAATAAATGGTTTATGTTTCTAAACGTTTATGTAGTACCTACTCTAACATTACTAATTATACAATACAATAATAAAATTCTAAAACTCAATTTTAAATTTAGTTGACAATACGTGAATATTTTTTTGTTTAAGAATTTTTCCCAAATTTAGGTATTATGTATGACACTTAAAATTAGTATTGCATGGTGTTTGTTGTGGTTTTATACTTTTATCTGTTTAAATTAATTTAACAAGCAGGACATATTATAGCTATATAGGTAGGTATCTGGAAAATATATACTACTTAGAAAACCACACCTATTTTCACATACTCTATACTTAATATGTTTCATTGTCCCAATTATGGCGGACATGATACTTTGTCATAAATTTTGTGGTGATAAAAATCATACTTTTAACCCTGTATAGGTTTATTTACATGTCGTGCTGATATTAAACTAATTACACAGACAATTCGTAGATAAGTAAATATATAAATTGAATAGAAAAAATAGTTAGCGGCGATACGGTTACGTTATAATTTAATTATACATTTCACGGATACGGATCATAAATGTCAGATATTAAATGTAAACCTCCCTAAATTCAGTTAATTTATTATTGAAAAAGAATCATAATACATAATATTATTAAACTTACAAATATTAATTATAACACAGATTGACTTAAATTTCAGATAATTTATCGACCGATTTAGGCCCATTATTATTATGGTATTTAAGTTCTACAGCGCCATTTACAATATAATAATTAGGGACCCGAACTTGATGCATTTACAACTTTTTTTCTAATGCTTACATACGAGGCTCGTCTTTACAGAAATTTTATTTATGGAATATAGAATTTAATGGCAAAATGTTTATTTTGAATTTTTGCATTTTTAGGTAATTTATTGCTTTGAGGTCATTTTTTAGTATTTTTGATGCATATTTTTGTACTTTTTTTACATTTATTTGCATTTTTCTTGTTAAAAGTTACACTTTATCGTATACATTCAGTTTCCATTAGCTTGTTGACTATCGACGTTCATTATCTTTATCGTTTGTTGTCGCAATCTACGATTATTTAATAAACTGTAGATCAATATTATTTTAGACACGGTCCATTAGAAAAAACTTCCCAAAAGTCGATCGAATTATTTCAAAGTTCCAAAAAATATTTTTCAAGGCTTATTAGAGAGTAAACATTTTTAAACAGCTAGAACCTGTAATAAATACTATTTATGACCCACAAATTTTATAAAAAGTAATTATTGTAAAACTTACATTTTTAAAAATGTTAAGTCATTTTAAAGTAATTTTTGGTAGTTCTGTGTGCATATTTTAAAAAAGGTTAGGCCATCAAGTTCTAGGCCCTAATAATAATGATAGGTAGGGTTATTTAACCAAGGTGATTTTAACTGACATAATATATCATTGTTCTTAACTACATGGTAAATTGTACTATTTTTACATAGGAATAGTTATAAGAATCTAAAAAAATGTCATGATATAAAATAATAAGGAATTAGGTAGATATTTGTTCAAAAATTATGGATATAATACAATAATTTAATTATAAAAAAATAAAAACCTACTTTTAATGATTCATTTTGTTTCAAGTAGTATACTCTATGACGGTTTACAACTTTACATAGAATAATATCTACAATATAAACGCATAATAGGCCAAAACTAAAGTGCAGAGGAAAAGGGTTTGAGCGTGATGTAGTTACGTACAACATGCGTATCACCTGTTAAAACTCCTCAACCTCCATATTAGGAAAACCAATAATACGTGCCGGAATCATCTCAAATATAAACGTAATCTGGGGTAAATTCTGAGGGGGGGGAGGGTCAAACTGTGATAAAACTAAAAATCTATAAGGTAAAGTGACTCTATTTCCCACCCAGTTAAACTAAGTCATCTTAGAAAGCAGTTGCCCCCTCCCCCCACATTACTCCTATGATCTCAAATACATACCTACATACTATTTCTGATTTCATACCTTAATAACAATGTGTCGATAATTCGATATATTAGAGGTATTATATTAATACAATTTAAATAGTACAACAGACTGCAGTGGTGACCGAGCTGCATTATAATGTAGCCTGATTATCATTCTTGCTACCTACTCCATTCCTGCTGCTGATAATATAATCACAATATACTATGTGCAAACGCGCGATGTTCGCCACCGTTATTATAGCTAATACGGGCTATCTCTCATCTATTGTATAGACACAATAATATATTTTTATACTACGATGTTGGCATTTTCGGTTTGATTTCAGTGTACGGCGTCATGCGAAAAGGACGGTCTGAGGTACCGAATATTGCAATGCGTCTGGTACGGCACCAACAAGCCCGCCGGGACCGCCTGCCGCGACCAGCCCAGGCCACCGGTAATGAAGACTTGCACCGGACCGCAGTGCGCAACAAGTAAAAACACGCATAACTGTACGAGCACTTTCGACAAGGGTAGCGACCTCATTACGTAGGGTGGGCGACGGATGGGAAAAAACCCACGACCCTCCATATGATAATCTCATGCACATATACATACCTATATAATATTATTATATATGTGATATATTGCGTGTTCACAATCGCCGATCGTTTAGGGTTTAAATCGATTATTACTTATTATTGTTTATTATACAATCGACTTGACGTCGTATAATGTCGTATTGTAACACACCGTTAGATGCATATAATATTATAATATTGTTAATATTCATAACTAATATACGTTATAGCTAGAGACCGGATTTATATGCGTTTAAAATATTGAAAATAAGATGATTCTATAATTTCATCAAAATAATCTTTTATATGCAAAAATATTCTTCTATGAAAAAATATTCTTTTTCATATAAAATGTGTTAAACACTGAAAAAAAACAAATAAAAGGAACAGTTTATAAAAATAATAAATAGTTTATTTATAAAAATAAACAGTTATATTTAATCTACAATATATGGTGCACCTATATTTAACTGTTGTAACACAAACTTATGAATTCAAAAAATAAAAATACTAAAATAAAAAATGATTTCATATAGTTCAACAACAGAATAATATCATTATGTATTAAGATAACTCAAACTTAAATAATTCAGCCTTATGAGCTCAAAAAATAATAATAACAACAAATTTTAAGTAAAAAAAATAAAAAAAAAATTTAATATCTATTAGATTTTTATAATATATTCAAATTTGAACCCAATATGGCAATATATTCCTAAAACATGTTTTACCCAAAATATTCTTTAACCTTAAAATATTCTTTTTTATGCGCTAAAAAATTTTGTATATCAGTTCATAAGTAAATGAATCGTCGAGAAAGCTTATCCAATTGGAGCTGCATACTCTCAGTAAAGTTATGTTTTTACATAAAAATCCGGTCTCTAGTTATAGCCGATATAGTAATAAACAACCATATTTTTCTGAGGTAGGTATGCGGAGAAAATGTATAATCACATCCGGAATCATATGCGTGTTCCAAAAACCCCTGAAAACTCCTTATTAATCTGAATAATTTAGATAACTGATGAGTTAAGCCCGCACAAACAGTCCGGAATTATCCAGATTTTCAGCATTTTCCATATTTTCAGATATAGTGGCCAAATCGTCCGTCTTTTTCAACTCTTGTATGCTCACCCACAATGGCCACAATATAGCGTAACGCCTCACAACTCATTGCAGATTAGTGTTAAAGAGTGCTACTATAGTTTACGACCCGTCATTATAGACTATAGTTATAGTTTACTTTTTGAAAATTATCTAATTTTGTACACGATTTTTGTTACAGAAGACGAATGCAAAGATCACAGCAAACACAACTGCAAGAACGTAAAACAAATGAACATGTGTCATTTGCGTCAATACCAAACACAGTGTTGTCTTTCGTGTGCATAAGCACATCACCACTGTAATTTTATTTTTCTATTCAAATTTTTTTTTCTAAGTTTTAACGTGTTAGTACGTGTTTTAGCATTCATTCCGTTGTACATAATGTATTATTATATACGATGAGTTACAATAAGTATTAAGTGTGACGCACGTCTTGTTGAACTAATATTTATATTGTTAAGTAGGTGAAATATTATTTTAATCCGATTTTGAATGTGTGCCGTTGATTACCTACGTATGATATATTATGTTTTGTACACTATAGTAGGTATATACTATTATACTATTCGTAGCGTTCTATTTTTTTATTGTTCTGTTTTTAAATAGTCTCTAGGTAGGTACGTATACATAAGCGGAAATCGGCTACTGTTTTTTTTTTTTGGGGGGGGGAGGGGGTTAACAACTTAAAATGCAAGAAAGAAATGGTTTTCACTACTCTCGAACTACCAGTATAAAAATGTCATTATAGATGATGTTACAAAATTATTTTATCTTATTTTGTTTAATAGGTATATCTATACCGAAAAATCTCGAAAATTCAAAAATTGTTTTGTATTTAAAACTTCATAACATTTTAAATTTAAAAGGTTTGAAAATGTGTTACAATGTATGTTCATATATTTATCATTTAAAAATGGGTATTGAAAAGACGTTTGCAGAATTTTATTTAATAAGCATTTTAAGTTGAAATTCACCGATTCCTTTGCTCAGCGCACTGAATGCTCAATGTATTCAATATACAAACTGACTAAATTATCTATATGCAGCAGAATCAAGCTCTTCAGTTTTTATAATTTATTTTAAAAATAATAAAATTTGGTTACCATTCACGTATTAACTGAATGAAATATAACGAACTTTTTTTTCAGTCAACATTTTTACCACTATTACTAAGAAAATATTCTATGCACAACATAGTACTTTTCAATGCATATTTTGGACAATATTCATGTTAGATAATATTACACTATTATTATTTTGTTTTTAGGGGGACTAAGTCCCCCAGCACACTTCGATTTTCGTCAATGTGTACGTATCAATCTTACAACATAAACGATGATGGTTAAGTAGACACTGTAGGGTGTCAACCCTAAGTAAAAAACTTAAATAATTGTTCAATTTTAACTTAAGTAAAATACTTAATGCGTCATTATAATCATATTAAATTTAAACGGGCATTACAGATCTTCCACAATAGTTTTGTTGACCGTGGGTTTCGATCAGTTGTATACCACCGCATTCCTCAATACCCAATCTTAATGATGATATATATTAAAAAATATAGTATAATTATATAATATTATGTAATTTCAATATAATATATTTGAATTTTCTTTATCATTTAAGTTTAGATTAATAAAAATTACTCACTAATGAAACGACTGAAAAAAAAAAGAATCGGGGATATTCAGTATTGTTTTATGTACGATGATTAGGTAAGATTTAAATATAATGTAATACAAGTTCATTATTGAAAAACCCTATTGAATGTAAATAATATTATTATCCGTACCAAACGTCCCAGATATTATACATTCCAATATTCCATTGTACTTCAATGATGCCATGAACTTACTATGGCAGCTATGGCTTAGTTACATCCGTCGACTGCAGGACGTCTTTACGTAACCTAGATTCCTCGTGTGTTCAAGTAGCCTCTTGCACTCTTCTATAAAAAATTATGTAGAAACCATTTTAAAAACAATATCGTTACATTCCCATACATTTGTCAACAACCATTTTCTGAATGTATTGTCATATGCATAGCAACAATTGTCACGTGTTCAAATCAACGCTCTAATGGACATAATATTATGTTGTAGGCAGATTTTGATAAACGGTCACGACGAGTTTTTCTTTTACACGATTGGAGCTGTTAATTTATCAATTTGTGATGTATCAATGTATCAAGGTACCTTAAATAATATTCGTACCATAAATATTATACATTCGCATTAAGTAGGAACTTTATTATTTATCATACAACAAAGTACCATGCATTCACTTCAGCAGTTATCTCGCGTGGCGAAAGTGACTAAAAAGTTATTTGTAACAATTTTTAGTGTCTACAAAACTGTTTGAAAGTTACATAATAATATTATTATAAAGTCGTTTGTTTTTTTTTTGTAGAATTAATTTAAATAATCTCCAAGTTCTATAATTATCATATGTTCGATTATCGTTACCTAATACAGTTGCTTAAATTTAATTTCTATGATGATAAAAATTGCATTTTATTTTTCAAGCTATGCCTATTTATCCGTTCTGAAGCTGTACTCGAGAGTTTGATTTGACGAGCCTAAAAGACCCCTACGGGACCATTACGGGTCCCATACGGGACTAAGACCATTACGGTTGGAGAAGTCCTTATTAGAACTGAATTTGAGGGGGTGTTTTAAGAATTTCAAGTTTTCCGTGTTAGTAAGTACCTGCCTATACATATGCCCGGACCTCATAGCAATCGATTGTTCCTCGGCCACACAAATATTTACAATTTAATCAATTTATATTCAACATTGTTCGTCTGTAGAGGGTTAATCGTTATTCTTACCTACCAAATTTTCAAAATTACGATTATGCTTGCAATAATATAGTATTATTGACATTGTTATTAATATTCACTTGAGCGGCCGTTTCAAAAAAAACAATTAATATAATATTATTGTGACATATATGTATGATATATTATTAATATGTTATAAACGATATGACTGATTAATAGATTTTAGACGATTATTTGATTACCTATTAAGCGATATTAGTTAATTTTACCTTCGTCAGTTAGAATAATAAAATACTGCACAAGTCTGTAATAGCTAATACGTGTATAATATTATACTAATTATAGTTTTATTAATGTAACCAATTTGTTTTATACCTACTTCTTGTTATTATTATTATTATTATTAATATTTACCATTATATCGATTTTATATAACTACCTACCTAAATAATTATCATAGTTAAACCTACGCTAATATATTATTATTATGTAAATTTCGTTTGCTGATCGTCTTAATTTACACGCGGACCAACGTCGAATAATAACAGCGTTACATATAGGTAATTGTTAGTATAATACCATTATTCTTTTACCCTGTCGCCATACCTATATGAGTTATACTATTAAACTATATTACATTTATCAATTAAGTTATAATAAATTAATAAAAATCTATTAGTAACCCAAAATATGAATGGTATATTGATTATTGACACTTATAGGTAAAGTAATAATATAAGTTTTAAATTTCATTTGTCATTGAATTTCATTATTTTTAATGCATTTGAATCGTAGTTGTTCATTCCGAAATATTGTGTAACATTATAATTATTATTAATAATATTATTATAAAAATATAATTATTTATACTATATTATATTGTAATTTGTTTTGTCAAAATAATAATATGTTAAAATAATATTGTACAGCGTTGTAATGTATTGCTTTGAAATAAATTATATTTAGTTGTGCCTATAATGAACAATTATTAGGAGATAAATAATAAGCATGTTGATTATAAATTATAATTTATAATAAAATAATAACAATTATTATTATTATTGTGCTAAATTAAAAACGAATTTTGTAATGAATGTTTATTCTATGTCTACTCATTGATTACATTATCATAATGTTATAACAAGAAAGTTATACTTACAAAATAATATAATATTAATTATTATGTAAATTGTTAATATTTATAATTATTAAAAATATAGATAGTTCATATTTATAATTTACCTGATTAGTTTTTCTTGTACATACCTATCTAATATTTTAAATGCCTATAATCTGTATTATACCTATAGGTCTTAATGTATTACAAAATACAATGATACCTAATGTAGCTATACCGATTACCGAAATTAATTATTATTATTAACGTAAAACTTAATAGTGGTATTTCAGTATTTGGCATTATTTTGTTTGGTAAAATATGTAAATTTTATTTGTCATAGTTTGGATGGCGTTAAGAATTTATCAAAAAATTGAACAATATTGAGATTTGGTTAGTGGTTGAGGTATTTGACTGAATTTTCGTATTTTAAAATATTCATATTGTATGTTATGTTCAATGTTGGAAATTGGAATACCTTTAAAGAATGAGAAGAAAAATAAAACAATAACCCAGTACCGGCAGGCGGCAGTACCCAATAGGTCATAACATCACATTCAAGAAATAAATGCCAATAGGCTGCAATAAGACGTTAGAATCTCGTTTTAAGATAATGCATACAAAATAATAATATCATTAATTGCCCTGTGCTGTAATGTGAACATTGCAATAGATATTTATTCGATTTTTCTCTTTATGTATTTAGACTTAACGTAAATCGAACAACTACAATAATTGTATCAAGCTAAGTTCTAATTAATAATTCATTTACAATAAAGCCTAAATATAGTCTTATATTTTGAAAGCTAATGGATAATTTATTAGTAGTTATATTTTTTTTAGATAGAACTATAGAAGGTTAAGATAGGTATGACTCCATATTTTGTTCTGTACGAGTATTCGTTAATTTATATTTCATTATTTTTGTTTTCTTTTTTAAATACGGTTTCTCATGACATTTTTACTTTGTAGCTTGAACAATGGCAGGGAAAAATTCTCGATGAAAAATTACCAAAAAAAAGTGTTGCAACGCATTTTTATCATTGCGTAGAATATATAATCTAAATATTCTATATATAAAAAAAATTTTACCAAGTATAGTTATAGTTTATAGGTAACTAGGTAAGTTACACAGATTACATATTACACAATATCTTTATTGACTATTGTTATCAGTCAACTACATAGTAAAAATAATATTAATTTAAATACCTACTGAGTATAAAATATGACAATACATTTTTTAGATTCTGAGTGGAACGATGAATGTATTGATTTTACAATGATGTGTGTTTTAGATTCCGAGTGAAACAATGAATGTATTGATTTTACAATGATGTGTGTTTTTTTTTAAAATTTTTAAATTTTTAAATTTTTTAATTGGAA